CAAAATTAAAGACTTTGTACAGATTCAAAGCCACTAAGATTAGAATGGAAATAATTAACTAGGAAAAAATCTTTGCAGCAAGTTTCTCTGATAAAGGTCTCATTTCTAAGATATATAAGGAACTGGTTCAATTTTATAAGAATAAGAGCCATTCCCCAACTGATAAATGGTCAAAGGATATGAACAGGCATTTATTAATGGAAGAAATACAAGCTATCTATAGCCATATGAAAAAATAATGCTACAAGTCACTAATAATCAGAGAAATGCGAATTAAACCAACTCTCACACCTGTCAGAGTGGCAAATTTGACTGAAACAAAAAAAAGGAAAATCATGAGGGTTGTAAAGGGCTTCTTTAAAATAGGCATGTGAAACAATTTGCAGAGATATTAATTGGTCCAGCCACTTTGGAAAGCAATTTGAAACTTTACATACAAAAAGTAACTAAATTGTGCATCTGCCTTGAACCACTTATACCACTAGTAGGCCTATATTCCAAAGAAATAAAAAAATACACAATATATACAAGAATATAGCGTCTCTTTTTGTGGTGAAAAAGAACTAGAAATTAAGGGGGTGCCCATTAATTGGGGAATGGATGAACAAATTGTGGTATATGAATGTGATGAGGCAATGTAAGAAATGGAGAAAAAGAAGGTGCAAAGAAACCTGGCGAGACTTGTATGAACCCATGCAGAATGAAGTAAATGGAACTAGGAAAACAATTTATATCAGAACACCGATATGATAAGAAATATGATAAAGTAAATGATAAAATATCATTCCAGAGATGATAAATGACAACGAAGATCACTTTCTGACATTGAAGTGATAAATATAACATGCAAAGTGAAACACATATTTTGGACACTGCCAATATGAGAATTTGTTTTGTTTGACTATGCATATTTATTACAAGGATTTTTTTTTCTTTCTGGGGACAGGTGGGAGCAAGAGAAAACAAAGGCTTGTAAATTGAAAAAAAATTAACTTAAAAAAAGAAAGAAAGGTATTTCCTAAACTGTTTTGTCCAGTGAGCATTTGTGGGCTTGAAATGCTGCTACAAAATCCATAAATATGAACCCCAGGATATGGAATTCTCCCCAAGATAAAGGGGGCAAGGTGAGCAAGTGGTTAGATGTTTAATATAGACACAATATCATATTTGATCTTTCAGAGAGTGCAAGCACTGAAATGTTCACCTGCAATGCTTATTCATATACACACACATGCGTGCACACACGTATATGCACACACAGGTAAACACTGCTCTCTAGGCTGCAGCAGATATAAGAGTTCCTTTTAAATTCTTACATTTCAGAGGAGTGATTCAAAGTGATTTCTTTTTTTTTCTTTTTTTTCTTTTGCTTTTGGGTGAAGCAATCAGGGTTAAGTGACTTGCTCAGGATCACACAGCTAGTTAACTGTCAAGTGTCTGAGGCCAGATTTGAACTCAGGTTCTCCTGACTCCAAGGCTGGAGCTCTATGCACTGTTCCACCTAGCTGCCTCCCAAAGTGATTTCTAAAAAGAAAAAACACCTCAATTGTACATCTTTACCACACACATAGTTAAGCCACTTTTCTCTTTGTTCTCCAAACACATGATGCTCATCTCTGTACCAAAGAGGGTATTTTATACTGTTTCCACATCTGAAATACATGCCCTCCCCCACTTCCACCTCTGGTACAGGGGCAAGAATGCCTGCCAGATTTGGAGTCTGAGGTCCTCGGTTCAAACCTAAGCCTTCCTATTTAGTGTAGTGTTGGTACCTATCTGGGCCTCATTTTCTGATCTGTAAAATAAGGTGGGACTTAACAATCTTTACTATTCCTTTCAGTGCTAAAATTGGTGGTCTCTAGTCTATGATTTAAAAAATGGGCTCCCAAAATAGGCAATACTGCTCCCTGGGGGGCACTGGAACAATGGGGAGCGGGCAGGAGTAGCATCAGGTGCAACTGTGGGGTGTTGAATAAAAATAAGGGGGTGGTGGAAGCATAAGGAAAGAATAGAAGAGAAAATTTTGAAAAAACATTTGTACATGTTTCATCTGTTGCGTAACTGAGTTAAAGTCATAGTGACTTTTATTTTCCAAATAAACACGCAAAATACAAGCCATAACTGATCAGTGGTCAAGTCTGACGACAGGTCTTAACAAACAAGTGGTGGCAGGCCAGCTTGTAGGAATATGTGCATGTAATGACTTGTTTACAGTATGATACTATACAATTACACGATGCGATATTGTATCATCAAAATTTCAATGTAGGGAAAAAACAAATTTACAACAAATTATTACATATAAGATGTGTCATTTTTTTCTGAAATGATGCAAATTAAAAACAAAAAAAAAACATTAAAAGGTTAAAGAAAGTAGATTTCCAGGGGGCGCTGAGTAATTTTTTTTAGAAGAGGGCGGTAGGCAAAATAAGTTAGGGAACCGCTGAAAATTTACTCATCCTCCAAGGTCCAACCTCACTCCCACTTTCAGACTTCTTAAGTAGACAGTGATTTATTCCTTCTCTGAGCTCTTGTACTTAGAATCATTTGCACACAGTTAAGCACTTAATTGTTCTCTAATGTTTTCAAGTGTATTAGTGCTTTGCAAATCTTAAAGTAGTATGTAAATGCCAGTTATTCTTACTACCATTATTTGTATAACACCATAGAATTCAAAGAAGCATAAAGGATGGTCCTTGCCCAATGAGATGAACAGTCATTACCAAGTTACAGAACAGCACGGGAAAGACATTATTGTGTTTCAGTACACTGTTTAGAGATCTTCTTGAAAGCTTTCCAGCGCTGCTTAGACGGCCTGTCACACTCATAGGGCCCAGTGTTGCTTTGACCTCAATGTACATGAATGAGAGTTCATCAGTATCTAGCTTTCCTCTAAAGCTGGGCAAAAGCTTTACAAGACAGAGTGTTTCCTGGCCAAAGGACACAAACAATTCTACAGAAAGTTAGAACATCCGCTGTCGTTCAGGGCTCTCATCGAACTTCCTAGATGGTCACTACTATCTTTTTTGTATCAAGTCTATTAAGGTTGCACCAGACTTTGTTTACCCAAAAAAGGTTCTTCTCTTTCCATAAATGTTCTACTGAAGAAAATCGTTTCTGCTAATTGAGGGAAAGAAAAGTTTTAACTGGATCCAAAATGCTAGAAACTCCACAGTCTAGGCCTATTGCAATGTATTGAACCCAATGAAACAAAACAAGTCTTGATGAAATATAATCTTTGCCATTCAATGGTTTGTCTTCTAAGAAAATGATTCTCTTGTCACAACTATAGATATTCTTTAATTCATCAGCACCTGATTGAAAAGATGTGAGTAAGTACATTCAAAGCGGTGGAGACAGAGTGGACAATGGTGTGGAGGTAGGAATGTTCTCCGGGTTCATGTAGGAGAGAATGAGAGGTGAGGTTGGGAAGGTAGACGTGAGCCAGACTGGGAGGCATACAGAAGGCCAGGCTAAGGGATTTGGTCCTCTAGGTAATCAGATTTTGAGCAGGAGAGTTTTAGAAATGTTAAGCTCGCTACAGTGTGCAAGATAAACTGGTGAGGGAAGAGATGGAAGGAAAGGAGGTAAATTAAAAGACTATTGTAACAATCAAGGCATGAAGTGCTGGCAGCCTGGACTAGGGAGGGGGCTGTGGAATGGAAATGAAGGGACTGATGAGAGACATGACAAAGAAAGACTCAATCGGACTTGTTGACAGGTTTTGCAGAGCAAATGACAATAAAGCAAAGAAGGTAGAACAGGAACCTCGAGATCAGAGCTGTCAGCAGAATTGGGGAAACCAAAGGGATGGATTCCTGGACCTAAAGCTTTGGAGGACCAAACCTACTCTAGGAAACCTTCTAGGTGAGCCAGTGGCAAGAAGGAGGTGCTGCTAGCTTCTGGGAGCAGGGGGATGTGGGGTAAAAAGCTAGAGGAGCAAGTGAGGCGAAGGTTTGGGAAGGGCACTGGGGAATTAACAAAATCGAAATCAAGGAATTGCTGTACAGTAGGGTCTCACTAAGATGAGAGAGCATGAGCTTGTCAGGAGCCGTCTCTCTGCAATTTCATACTATGACTTTAACTATGGATTGATTATTCATGGATAAAAAACCAGTTGGGAGAGTGGTTCTTCAATGTTTTCTCAATACTCTGCCTTTGAGCCACCTCATTATTTTGTCTGGAGCTCCATGAAAAGGTGGCCAAGTTAAGGAAGAGAAGGTGGAACTAAAATCAGTCTTTGGGTTTCTTTCCTAGTGCTTGTACGAATTGTAAGAAAGGTTTTAGGGGGTTAGGCTTCCACAGCAGGATAAGAAATTCCAGGATCTTGTGGACAGTCCCTCAACCAATCAGAAAGTGTACCAAAACATTTTGTAAACAACTAGTTCCTTAAGAAAGAGCCCTGGAGGCTAAACCCGTTGCAATTCCTCAGGTTCAGGGATGGGGCCTCAATAGGGCAAAGGCTTTTCTCCACTGCGCTTGTTTAATGAGCTTATTAAATATTAACTGACACACCTGGAGGGTAGAGATAGCCGCCATTTTTTAACACGGGATCCATGAAGTGGACAGAGTTAACAGAACATGGATGAACATGAGATGGGCAGTCCAGGAAGAGTGTAACTCAGATGAATTAGACCAATCTTAGCCCTGGTAGAGGGGAGTATGGATCTTACTAACCATTTAAAAATTGATTCTACCACTGAACCAGTGCCCGCGTGCCTACTTCTCTTGAGAGAAGCATAATAAAAGCTTTCCTTCACTTACTCCTGTAGTAGCTTTTTGTTTCAGATTTTTCTAACAAAGTCTTCTTCAATTGTGAGAATTTTGAAGCCGATGGCTTCCACTCAGTTTTAATTTATGCACACTATCCCTGTTTCTTATTATTACACATAATTAAGAGTCACCTGTTGTTCCCTTTCACAAAGTACACATCCAAAGTACAAGCAGCCTAGACCGATGCTTCTGTTTGAGGCTCGCTTCCTACTGCTAGGTTATATTACCTGAATCCCAAAGGCTATATCCTTCTTCACACTCTTCTGTCACCAATGAAGTCGGAGGGATCATGGTAGGTGTTGGTGGCAAAAGTTGCTTTGGTTCTTCATCATAAAATACCATCAGGTCCTTACAGAAAACAAGAGAGCACCTTGGTTAAGCAACAAAGAGTCATGTCTGGCCTCTTAAGATGGATAAGGACATTTTAGCATTTTAGTCAACATTATAATTTAATTGTCCACCCAAGTAAAGTAGGAAGAAGAAATGGTGAAAATATTTCAAAGGGTGAAAATATACCAAGTGAAGAACCCAAATCAGATTGTAATAGTTTACAAATTTGGTAATGTTGTGCAAATGTGGTTTGCATATGCTTTTCTACTGTCTTCCCAGTCCTAGCTGCATTCTTAGCCCAGCTGGAGCCTGGCTTATGAGTCATTCAGTATGCAGGTCCCCACCCTTGGTTGCTTTTAACATTCCTTCAGGCAAACCAGTTTAGAAAGAGTTCTTTGCTGCAATTTCAACTCAAATCAATTTAAATATTTAGATTTGAGGGTGACATGAGCAGCAAGATGGAAGACTAGACAACTTCTCTGATCCCCACAACCTCTCAAACTTCTCAAATCAAAACAAATCTTGTGTACCAAAGATAAAGCAACGTTGGCCATCCCCATGGTTTAGGACACCCAGAATCCAAAAGAAGGTTGAAAACAACACGAACTGACCCTGGGTTCAGCATGCCTTCTCTGCCTCCCACGTTCTGAGCAGCGAGGCTGCACTGGTAGACTCCTGACACAGAGCTCAGGGCTTGCAACGAAAGTCGACCTACAACCTCGTCCCCCCTCCCTCTTTCCTCTGCAGTGGAGACCCCTGACTCCAGGTGGCAGAATTTTGCTTGGGCAGAGACAGACAGCTAGAACAACAGATGGCAGCCCTTCAGGAGCAAAAACATCTGCTGAGGGCCAAAACCCTGTAGTACTAGTGTGGCAAAGCCCTGAAGCGCCTATGGCCAAGACAGACAACTAGTTAGCTCTGTAGCACCGGGGGAAGCTATGTAGCATTCCACTAAGCCTGAGGGAAAGAACACAGCATCTAGCTGGGGCCAGTTCTCACCACCCAAAAGTCACTTGGGGCAGAGACTCAGGCTGGCGAACTGTGAACTGCTCAATATGGGAAGAGGCCGAGATACTTGGAGATTCAGCCCCCAGGAAACCACCATCAGAAGGGATAGAGTCAGAAAATAAATAGAGGAAAATGCAGGGGAAAAAGACTAAAATTACCAAAGACGTTAGGGAGAAAAAAACTCCTTTAACACAAACAGATAAATCAACAGGAAAAACATCGACAGCTCTAGTGAACAAGTTCAGGCATCTATGAATGAATACTGTAAAACAAAGGAAATGACCTGATACTTAATGAGACAGAGGACCCTGTGAAAGGTAAGAAGATCATGGAACCACAACACACTGTTCCTGAGTGGTTTAAACGGCAAATGAGAATTATGAGAGCAGGATTTATGACATTGTACAACAAAAACAATGAGCAGAACAGAAAGACTTGAATCTGTTGTGGCAAGTCTTAGCAAAGAAACAAAAGAAAGTGATAGTTTGGGAATGCAGACATGCAGAACTGAAGGACAGCCTAGAAGAAGAGAAGCAAAATTCAAAACCATTAAAAGAAAACTCGCCCCCCCCCCCATGGAAGCAAAACATATTGATTTCTAAGACAGGAAGCACACAGACAACCCAAGGATCATAAGTCTCCCAGAACATGACAGGACAAAAAAAATCTTAACACCATAATGCAAGAAATAAGAGAAAAGAATAGCCCAGGACCTTTGAACATAGAAAATGAAATATCAACTAAAAGAATACACAGACCACCTCCAGAAAAAATCCAAGGCTGCAAACTCCAAGATGCATAATAGCTAAATTTAACAATTCAATTCTGAAACAAGTTCCACAAGCGATCAGGAGAAAGACCTTCAAATACAAAGGAAAGGAAATTTGAATAATGCAAGACTAGCACCCACCAGAAAATGTAGGAGGGAATGGAATAACGTGTTCTAAAAAGTAATGGCGCTTAGGAGGCAGCCCAGGGTGACCAATCCTGCAAATCTGAGCTTGACCACAAATGAAAAAATATGAATGTTCAATAAAAAAGAGGCACTTGGAACATTTTTAGGAAGAAAATCAAAACTGAAGAGGTTAACTGAAATGACAAAAATGAAGGAGCTGAATAAATGCAGCGGCCAAGGACAACAACAGCAACAGAACGATAGCAGAGAGACAAGTAAGAGGCTTCTTTCCAAATGCACACAAGGAGAAGACCTACATAGGGGACAGTGAAGAGGACAGAGCCTGGTGACACTCTGTGTTTAGGTGATCAACATGGGAGGCTGTATGAAAGAAGGGGAAAGGGAGCAGGGTGTGAGAAATGCTAACAGTCTGGTTCCCACAGAACTGATAGGAAAACAGGGCAGGGGGAGGCTGATTTATTGGTTTATTGGTTTACTGGTTTACACAAATATGTAAACAAGATGGGGGGAGATTGGTTTTCACAGACTCTATAGAAACAATAGATACTGCATTGCAAACACAGATATTCAATGAGACGTGCAGGAACATTGGGACAAGTTGGGGTTAAAGCCAAGTGATCCTATCGAACCACCTGCTCTGCTCCCGTACAGGTGAGATTCCAATGAGGGAACACACCTGATTCTCGTGAGAACTGCTAATGAAGGTATCTCTTCTCTCCACAACTCCACAACTGTGATTTCATTGTGACTCAGCTAACTCTTGTTGGGGAATTCACCGAGCCCAGTCTCGGCTGAATTCTGAATCGAGTCTGGGGTTTTTATAACAAGGGGAACAGAGGAGTGTGTGACATGCCAGGGTCCAATCTAGAGCTATCAATGAAGGAAGGTGAACCCTGTGGTCTCAGAAAGAGAAGAGCCTACAGGGAGATGGGTGAGGGGGATGGAGGAAGAACTGAAAAAGGAAGAGTGAGGTCTTACTTTGGTGGCAGGAAGGGGTTCCACTGATGAATGCTTCTATGTGTGAAGTGAGATTTGTCTGTGAAGGGAAACAGGAGCCTTGTGCTGGGTATGGCTTGAGAGATGTGGTGCCTTAAAACTAGTTTTATCTGGGGAGGGGAAGTGGGAATTCCTTGAGGCAACTGGCAGCTGGGGGAGTGCAAAAGCATGGAACCAGGGAGGAGGCAAATGGAGTTGGGGGGTTGGAGAGATAAGCAAGGAATGTTATAGATCAGTGGTGAGCTGCATATTCAGAAACATAGTTAGGCAGGGGCTCTACCATGGGGCCATGTCCTCTCTGACACTAGCAATAACTGGCTTTCTTCTGGGAATGAGGCGTAGTAGAAAATGGAAATCTACAGGGCAAGCGCTATAAGACTGTGACACAAACCATCTAGAGGGGAGAGTCTAGAATGGATGGATACCCTGGAAGTTTTTATTGCATGAGGATACAGAGAATGTAGAGAAATTAGATAATTATAACAGTCGTGAATCAGAGAGTTAAGGTCTAGAGGAGACAGAAAGGATAGGTAACAAAGTGAGTGAGAGAAATCCTTCTTTGGAAAGAAGAGCAAAAAAAATGAAATTTTAAAAAACTAATGAATAGCAGTAGTTTAAATGAAGGAGAGGAAGAAGAAAAATCTATCTTAATTGAGGGGGAAAAGACAGAGAAGAAATATTTAAGCAGATAAAAGCAGGAGAGAAAAAGAAACTAATAAAACCTTAAAGGAAAATAAATAGAAGGGATCATGGGGGAGGGGAAGAGAGTCAGGGGAACAGGGCCACCTTAAGAAAGATTAAAGAAAGTAACTGGAGAAACATAACACTGTGTTTATAGAACAAGAGGGGGAAAATCATAACTTGGGGGAAAAAGCAATTTTAGCAACAGATGGAGAAAAATATAAACCTAACATCATTTTAAATGTGAATGGATTAAACAATCCAATAAAATGAAAAAAGAGTGACAGATTGGATAAGAAAACAATACCCTACTATCTGTTACTTACACATTACATATTTAAAAAACAAAGACATACATAAAATAAAACTTAGGAGATGGAAAAAATTTACCACACATCAAGTAAATAAAAAAAACAACTATGAGTTGCAATCATGCTAACAAAGCAAAATAAACATTCAAAAAATAAAAAAGGATAAATAAGGAAACTCTATTATGCTGAAAGGAACCATGGACAACAAACCAATATCAATTAAAAAACTAATAAGCTTATATGCTCCAAGTGTAACACAATAGTGACAGGAGACTTCAATATCCTTCTCTCAGTTTAGGATAAGTCAAATAGAAAAATAAAAAAATAAAGGAGAGGGGAAGAATAAGGAACTGAACAAATTGTTAGAGAAACTAGAGTTAAAAGACTTATGCCATCTTTTAAATGGGACAGCAAAAGATTATACATATTTCTCAGCACCACATGAAACTTTCACAAAAACTGACCATGTACTAGGGCACAGATATATTGCAAACAATTGTAAAAAAGCAGCTAATATATCCTTTATAGACCATAACACAATAAAAATAATAATTGGTTTAGGGACCACAAACAAAAGATACAGACTGAAATGGAGACTTAACAATGAAATCCTAAATAATGAGTGTGTCAAAGAACAAATCATAGAAACAGTTAATAACTATGTAAAAGAAAACAATGATGAAACAACATACTAAAATTTCTAGGATGCAGCTCAAGTAGTCTTCAGGGGAAAATTATATCCTTACAAACATACATTAACAAACTAGAAAAAAAGAGAATTAATCAACTGAATATGCATTTTTAAAAATCAGAAAGCCAAAAAAAAAAACAAACTTAAAATAGCACAAAGAAGATATTAAAAATTGGAGGGGAAATAGATAAAATGGAAATAAAAACCATAGAAATGACCAATAAAACTAAAAACTGGTTCTTTAACAAGTCCAATAAAACCAATAAACATTTTGCTATTTTGATCTAAATATGAGAGCAAAAATATCAAGTCAGTAAAATAGCAAATAAATGAGGTGAAATCACAGCAAAACCAGAAGAAATAATAAGAACAATTGTAACATATCATGCACAGTTACAGGCTAACAAAACTGAGA